AGTCTCAAAGTGGGTTCCTCGTCATCGAATTTTAATTATCACAAAGTTGCCAGTTCTGGAAGTGACATTACATTTTGTCCATACTTACAATGCAAATTACACACATATTTATAGATAAATGACCACTTACTCTTAAAAACAGATTGAAACATGTGTAATGTGTATAAATTCTGTCCAAGATACAAATAAATTTCTTTTTAGCATACTGCATTGTTTTACTACATATGATAACACCATTACTATTAGTTTCCTAGACACATCAAGATTTAAAACTTTAGGGATAGCCACTCTCTTCAACATTTCACTGATACTACTAACAACAGAACACTTGTTAAATTTATCACATTTCAAAAGTTTCTAAAATGAAATTATTTTTTCACATCACCAAGAATTTAGCATAAGTTATGATGACGAAACAAAACTATCAAACCAATCATGAAAAAGTCAGTTTATGACAATTTTTAAACTTATTCGGTAATTACTTATTGAATTTAACAAAAAATAATAATGTTTATATACTGAAGTGCAAATTTTATATTTAGTTAGTGTTAAAGTACTTCAGAAATTCTTAACATGATTTTATGTACCACAAAATATACAAAAATAAGATATAGTTACCATTAACATATCTTCTACAGTTACATTGTTTCAAAGCAAAACGATATTTTCCAACCACAGTTTTTTCAAAACAGAATAAGAAGAAATTAACGACAGTAGTCAATAACTTCGCTAATTTGGCCTAATGTTTAATGTGACATGAATTAACGTAATTGACATCTAGCAAGTAGCAAATCTGCTACTGAGAACATGTGATAATATCAAGACTAACAATAGGCAAAAGCATTGGATTTTGAATAGTACAAAATGATTTAAAAACTTTGGAGAAAAAGAAAACTATACCTGATGACAGACCAAATTAAACATTCCTAACAATAACTGTAATAAATATTTATTTTAGGGTGTTCAGTGGAGTACTGTAATATGTGCACAATTAATTATTGATTAAAAGAAAACATTTACCACAACAGAAAAAATAACTTGAAATGGATTGACGTTTTGATATTCACAACTATTCACTGTCATATGTGAATAATACAGCAGACTATAGTAGTCAACTAATACAACAAATTTTGGTATTCACAACTACTACACCATCATATGTAACTAATACAACAAATTTTGGTATTCACAACTACTACACTGTCATATGTAAATAATACAACAAACTTTGGTATTCACAACTACTCCACTGCCACGTGTGAATAATACAACAGACTTTGGTATTCACAATTACTACACTGTCATACGTAAATAATACAACAGACTTCGGTATCCACAACTACTCCACTATCAGACTTCATGCACTGGGAATTGTAAGAAGCTGTATTAGAATAAACAAATGATATACATACTGTGTACAATTATTTCCTGGCTTTACTGTATTCTTGCCATAAACATAACAACAAAAATATTCTTAACCTATGCATGGCTTCTTCCACACGTGGTCCTGAGACTGTACTACTGACAACATCATCTAGCTGCATGATAATATCTGCACCAATAGCATTTTGTATCTCAATTGACTTTTCTGGTGAGAGAAGAATTTCACGCTCATCATAAGGTGATACAAACTTTACACCTTCTTCATTAACCTCAGACAATTCCAGTAGAGATACCATTTGAAAACCTCCACTGTCCTAAAGAATGTATTAAAAAACAAACTGAGAATAAATAAGCTAGCAATCACATAGAGAAACTAATGGGTGCTACTATACTGTGCAGTCTACACAGATACTATCACCATCACTGTTATAATGATTCACTAAAACATACTTTCTTGCTCAATGATTTATATCTATCCACGATTTTGTTCAGCAAATAATAATAACTTAATAAATTGTGTGTTCCACAAGAGTACCGCAAATTTAGGTTATAATTGTGCTAGTTTTGGTTATTGGAACTTATTTCATTTCAATTATATTTGCCCCCAAAACATTATGTAATGATATTTTGTACTTTATTAGTTTAAAAGCATTATCTATAATAACTGGTGTCAATTGCAAATAAACGAAAGTTGAAACAGTGATGATGATATTATAGGTGTAGACCGCACACTAGTGTATATATTTTTTGTAGACCTCATGAAATAGTAGCACCAACTAATGCTTATAGAAATGAAAAGGGAAGCTAATTTATCTGTACCAATACCTTTCTATGAGTTATACAAATTAGAATATATGATGTTACATTACCAAAAGTTCAAGTTATGGAACTTTTAACAAGTTATAGCAGAACAATAATTATAACAATATAGAAATTTTAAAAAATCATATAGATAAATACTGAAACAAAAAACAAACCGTGAGGAGAGCTTTTTTCCAATTCATAAAGTTATGTAAACCTCCAGCCTTCTCCAAAACTTCAGGACCCTGCAAAGTTAAGACATATAATATCAAATTACATTTGTAACTCTTTTTTAAAACCAAATTTGGTGATATAAATAGATCGATTAAATTTTCACTTGTCACTGCAAAGACCCAAGCCCATAACATTGTTTCTGAAAATGGCAAGGCCACAAAGTTCAAATGCATAAAGCATTTAGCAATATAGGAGAGTTCAGAAACATTCCATCCAAGGAAATTTTACTTAATTTATATGCAGCAGGAAGGAGTGATGGATTATAAAGAGCATTTGAATTTGATTAATTTAGATATTTGTTTAGCTGCAGTTTGTGAGAAACAAATAAATGAGCTTGTCAGATGAAAACATCTATGCCAGCTTGAAGCCTTTGATCAGTACCCAAATTCACAATTCTAATATAAATTCCTACAAGAAGCATAGTTTAGATATCATTATAATGTAATATATTTAACTTGGATGGTTCAAAACATCAACGTTAAAACAGTATATAGCACCAGCAAGAAAATGAAACTAATAACCTAAATTTTTATTCCATTTCTATTCCTTTTTTTCAAAGTAACAGGTTTTTCTAGTATGTATTTATTTCTAGCAAATCATAGGTGATTGTGATAAGGACTGAGGCAAAACCTCAACACCTTGAAAATAAACAATTAAATTAAACTATTAGCTCTGTGTTGAGTGGATGAAAAAAAAAAGTTAAATAGGAAATAAAACTCACCCCCCCCCCTCATCACCAAAAAGAAAAATAAATAAGACTGCCAGGATTTAAACTCACTTTGTGAATACACAAGTTTTTCATATTTTAATTGTAGTAGCTTTTAACCACACACACAAAAGGATTTAGTCTAGCAGAGTACAATAGATCAAAATATACTAAATCAAAATTTAATAGAGCAGGCCTTCTTATATCAATAGGTTAGGTGCATAATAATAATATTAAATATTTTAATGTTTTTAACCCTGAAGTTGTGCATCAGTTATACAGAAATGCTGTATTTTGGAAGCAATTCCGAACAAGAGAAAATCTGCTCTACCAATTTCTCATGTACAACTCTGAACAAGTTTAAGGTTTGGTCTCTTGCTTCAAAAAATGTAATGCAACTTCTCAAATGTTTTGGTGTTGATGAAAAGTATTTCCAAACAAGGCTATTTTTGCTCACAGCTGTTCCATTTTGACCATTTTGTAAGAATGGTTTTCAACATGTATTTACTAAGCATGCAGAATGTCCTAAATGTTATGTTCTTCACATCTAGGACACACTGTGCACATAGAAGAAACAACAAATGTTCAACTATTTCTTATGATTTCTATTAGTCGAGGTCTGATCACATATCTAAAACAACGAAGGTGATTACATCGTGAAGAACAAAGTATCTTATTTTACTATTTCTTATATACTGTTAAGACTTAATAGTCCGTGTCTAGTAATTTCTGACAAATATAGTTAAATAAACAAATTATTCTGCATTCAGATTTTTTTTGAAGAAATAATGAATATCAATTTGTCATAACTTTTCCTATTAAAACAATTTTACCCTAAATAACACTGGTTATGTTTGTAGCTTGTAATAACTAAGAAATATGTATATAATCAAAGCTACACTATAGTTTAGTCCTAACAAGGTAAATGTGAATAATAGGCATCACTGTGGCTATGTACGTAACCAACAGCCACTAGGTCACACCCTCACATTTGTGAGTTGTGTGCTGTCATGCCAATGGAAGTAGTAATAGCTGTCTCATCGTGCATGGTCAATTCCATTTTTCATTGGTTAAAAACAGTATCTCAAAAATTAATGGAGGGTGCTGTCAGCAGGTTGCCTTCCCCCTCTGGTCAGCAGTTCAAAATTAGGAATAATCAGATAGCCTTAGTAGCTTTGTCATAACTCAAAAACAAATATAACACTTTCACAACTGAAAGGTCAAGCATGATTGGTGGCAAAGCTCCACAAACCTGAAATAACTGAAAAAATTAAAATGAGAAATCAGGAATCAAAATACTACATTTCTGCATTTCCAAGGAATTTAATTTTGCTCCAGGAATATCATCTTTTTAGTTGGCTTTCCAGATCAGGTATACATGGTCCATCTGTATTCCTTTAGTTACGACCAATGAAAGTGAACATATTGCATGAATTAAACAGAAAAACATTTCATAAGGAAACACAACTTTACATGAGGGAATGTAATCTTCCTGATAGCTTTCCCTCAGTTGAATGTAATTTTATTTCATTATTTCTCTCCCTGAAAATCATAATGATTACTTGATGATTGGAATAAAGAAAAATAGTAATAATAAGAAATACTAATTTTGATTAGTTCACTGTTTTCATGATTTGAACACTAATTAATTGAGCTGAATAAACTTTAATGAATCAAAATAAGTAATAATCCAAAACACCAATGTTTAAAATTTTCCTTAACTGAAAATGTATTTCCAACAGATTCTTATCTCTGTACACAGATAACTATTTTCCTCTTGATGTAATACTATCTGTCTGAGAGACTTGCATGCCAACAGCCTTGTGAAAACTCCTACCTAAAATTTACATGAATTTGCACTCCCGCATGATGACATATCATGTAGCTAAACCCCTCAGCAATAGAAGTGTGAAACAGCTTGATGTACAATGACTCCTTCTACATTCAAGCTCAATATTAAGTGAGGTGATCTATACTACAATCCAGAAACACCCTAACTTCTCACTATAGAGGGACTTCTTACTCTAGCCCTAGCAATTATGCCACAATCAGTGATGATTCTACATGGTCCACCACCCCAGTGGCTGGTAAATGGCAAGTCTCTAGTGCTCCACTTGAAGAGGGTGGGGAGAATTTACATAGGGGAGACCTGGAGTACCATTGGCCTCTCTGTCCAGAAAAGTCTTTTACTGGAGACAATGCAATGAGTGATCACAAAATCCTATATTTAAAAGCTGCCAAGTGATAGCCAGAGAAGCAGGCAGATGCACAACTCTGGTGCTGACTTTTTCCATGATACTCCATGGAATGGATACAGTCTGCATCAGACTTGAATGTTATATACAATTACCAAGAGTAAAATTCTACATATGAAAGTGAGAGAACAACTAAAAAATGGTTGATACTGGGAACCTGTCCCTAATCTTTCGGAGGTGAGAGTAATAACCTGGAGAATGTTTGTGAACTCACTCTATGGCTTGCTTCTCCAACAGGACCAAAACTGCCCCATCCAGACATTTAAGATAGGCTGGATCTGAGGAGTGATGAAAGGCTATGGTTTGAGGGAGAAGAAGAAGAGGAGGTGAATGAAAGTGGAGGATGAGACTGTGGGTCGGAACTTGAATGCCCCCTCTATCTGCAGCAAAAGGACCCTACAAATGAAAAACTGGGACACACAGACTCCCATGGGACCTGTACCATCTTGATGGTAACTAACAGTTAGGATGACAGGAGGGACATTGGGAGGAAGGAGGATGGGAGGCAAGGATACTGGAACAGAAAGGGGGTTGAGGGACAGATATGATGGAGTAAGATTGGGATTAATGCAAGACAAAAGACGAAAGAGAAGACTGATGGCAGGCAGCTTTAGCCTGTGATTCGAGGGAACCATGGACACTGCCAAAGACCTGACAGAAAAGGGGGCAAAACAAAGATCACAGAGGAAGGTAACAGATATTGGAAAGTAGGGTATCTCTACCCAACAAAGGAACCAAGTGAGAAAAGGGGCAGAAGAAGTAGAACAGGCAATAGAAGAAAAAAGGAGGGTCCAAGTATCCCCGTACCTCTGTCATTAGGTAAAAGAAGAGAGGTAATGAAGAAGGGTAATAAGGAATGCAAGAAGTCAGGAAAATTGGGCACTAGACAGGGGCATGGCTGACAAAAAGCTCACCCTAAGACTGTAAAAGAGACTTCAAAGACTGGGTGTCCAGAAAAGGAAAGTGATTATAGGCAAGAAGGTAAGAATCAGTCAATGTAGAGGACATGGCATTATATTGCATGAAGGAAGCTTATTGAAAAAGAGGTTAGCATGGACAGAAAATACCAGAGAAGTGTGGTAAAACAAAGAAATTGCAAGGGGAAGGGTTGTGTAATAGAGAATGGGAAGTGTCATAGATTATAGGGGATAGAGAAAGAATGATACACACAGGGAAATGAGTGCTAGGAAACCAGAAAAGGACCAATCAAGTTCTTCAGATAGCATGGAGGTACACAATGCAAAGTCAGAAGACAGAAACCGTTGCTCCATTTCATCCTTCTCAACATCATTTTCACAATCGGGTGAAGAGGAATGTGTGGAAGAAGAGGGTCCTGGTTTCATCGTGGACCCCACCACACACACACTGTACGATGGCCGTAATGTCTTCAACAGACAAGGAACTTCCAGAATTGTTGGTAAAGTTGTCATTGTGAGTGTTATTTTCACTCACTTCTGTTGAAGAATTCATTTTAAATTGTGAATTCATACTGATAAGTTGAAAACACAAAGTAAAGTAGTTGAATGGATATACTTTGACAAGTCTCAGCAAAAATGAACATGTCATTACACAACTGTGCCAACGAAAAGAATGAGGATTTTCGCACACAAATGTACAGGGAGGATTTGCACAAGGATGTGTGTTGCACTCCTATTGGCGGAATGTTTAACTGCATGATACGTCATTATACAGTAGCAAAAATTAATGTTTTCATGTGAATTTTAGGTGAGAGTTTTTGCAAGGTTGGTGGCATGCAAGTATCTCAGGCAGATAACATGACTTCAAGAGGAAAATAGCTATCTGTGTATGGAGGTGAGTGATCATAATGGAATTTGTTTAGTTTATCATTTTCATGAACAAACTTGAAATAATAAAAAATAATATTACAAATAATGAAAAATCATAATAGTAATATTTTGATTACTTGGATTGTTGGAATGATTCAAAATAGTAATAATTAGAAATACTAATTTTGATTAACTATTTTCATAAACCATGACATTGTTTAGGTTTTTTAAAGTAATTTTCAAATTATACTTGGTTTCATATAACAGACCTCTTCCGAAGGTTGAAATTTGCCAATCTTGTAAAAAAAAACATGTTTTCTGTCTTAAGAAATATTTTCCAATATTTTTTTAAAACAAGAACCTAGACATTTCCTATTTGACAAATGAATCATTAATGCCAATTAAATACCACCAAATGGGCACAATTAAGTTTTTTTTGAAACACATTGATCTTCTGTAAATCAAAGAAATTGATAAATAATGAAACATACGATTCCAAGTAGAAGTAATTAAGTAGTCAAGTTATCCAATTTATTAATGCATGTTGTTTCAATAGGATAAATATAAAAATAATATTTAATAAAGACTTGAGTTCTCAGAATATTTGCAGTTGCTTACTAATTAGTAAACTTCTCTGAATTGATGATGATTTTAGTTGGGGAGTATATTCAGAAAAAGAGAAAAAAACTCATACACAGAGACATCACAACCCAATAAAACCAGTGTATTTATTAAAACCTAAAAAGTCAATTTTAAACAAAGAACTAAACATCAAAAAGATACCTTTATTAAGCTTAAAGCAACCTCCAGTCATGTGAATTTTGTTCCATACTGTATATAATTATTCCTGTATCTAGATAAACTACTTGTACTGATGATGAAAAAATTGTCTCCAAACATAGTTTTCTTTGTTATCCATTCAATCCTAAGCTGTATAATCTTATCATATCTAGTTATCTGATGTCCTTTCATTGAGGAAAATTTCTGTAGCTTTCAAACAGATATAATTTAACTTACAAGTACTTTCAAATTCACAAATGAAAAGAAACTGAAAGGTGCTTTTCAGAACTATAAAAAACCTTTTTAAACTTATATATTTATTATTGTGTGATAGTTTAATTCTTGCTCTTTTCCAGTGTTTTCCAAGCTTTAACATCCCATGAACCCCTTTCATCAAAATGCCAAAACTCACAAACCTCCTCCTGAATATAATTTATAAAACAGAGATCTTGGAAATATAAAATTTGTTTTTCTTCTGACAATTTTATTACACACTATTTATTATTACATTATTAATTCTATTACATTATGAAAACAGCAACACTCTTCTAAGATTTCACTTTCATAACTCGTATCACTTTGAGTTTGATTAAGCCTAAGCTTGTTCTTCATCCTAATTTTAAAAATAGCAAAACATACCCCTTACCTTTCCATTTTTCATGAAGAGTTTTGAATTTATAATCCACTCAGTATGATGGACGCATGCAAAGCATTTGCTTCCACCATTACAGAATATCTTTCAAGAATTCCCTGAAACATTTTGCAAACCCCCAAAGGATTTGTGAACCACAGTTTGGGAACCACTGCTATATTCAATCATATTTAAATCTTCTCTATAGCTGTTTTCAAAGTTGTGTTTAATTAGTATATGATCAAATCACTTGATTTTTCACCATAATAATGTTTGAACCAAGGCCTGAAAAACTAAGTGACATGTTTGAAAATCAAGAAATGGATAAATATGTTCTTAAGGAGTGATAGGTTCTTAACAAAAGCAAAGTAATTCTTTGAATGGGTAAAAAAATTCTAAAAACAATAAAAAAATTTAATTCAGTTATATATTACTTAAGAATGTGCATGCATTGGTAGTTAGAAATTACAAGCCATGTTACAATAGTGGAAGTGGACTTTAGATAAAATTAATGTGTTTTTACTGAAAAAGAGATGAAAGAAAGGTTAGAAGGCATGACTAAGATTGTTAGAGCTTTGAGTTCTATATGATGGGATCTATTAAGTACGTAAAGAAATATTTTTAAACTTCATGACAGAAAAGTTACAAACTTGTAGTAACAGAATATAAAATTTTGCTGATAAGGATTATTTTAATCTTATAACATAAAGACATCAAGGGACCATTTGCTCTTCAATATTGTCCCTGCATACTCACCCTTCAGATATAGTAAAACTTGAACCCAAGACTTATTTTTAATAATTTACCAATTCCCTTACTAAACTCTTGTAAAGTGTCTATCTCTTCTACTGCCAATGGCAACTCATTCCATAAGCTAATCATTCTCTCACAAAAATAAACGTGTCTTAACTGAAACTAGCTTGTCGTCTTTGTCATATTTAAATCGTGTTCTCTTGTTCTATTATTTTCAGGATATAGCAAAAAAAAACAACAAAGATTAAAGAACTTTATCCTATTGAACCCCCAGATAACAATATAAACTTCAATAAAATCACTTTTTACCTTTTCTCAAGAGAAAAGTTAATTAAGAGATTTTAACCTATTTATTGGTTATTTATGACTCTAACTGTAACTTAGTGTAAGTATAAATAAAGAATTAAATATATATATATATATATATATATGTAGAACATTTATCTCAATACAGAATAAATATTAGTTAATTTAAGTAATTATTAGTGGCTGCAAATACCACTATCATGTCAGTATTAACAGTAGTTAACTGGAGACCTAAGGCTAACATTACACTTAACCAATGGTCAATTGCGATAACTGGGAAAATAAAATGTGTAATTGTATAAATAAACAAAAATTTAGTGACATTTTACTTTACAGTTTAGACATAACACGACGCATTACAAATTTTACAACTCACTGGTCTCATTCCTAAATGATACGTATTCCCCAAAATTAGATGACAATTTAGCTTCTCCAACTGATCAGGAAGGAGACCCTTCAGCGTTCCTTGAGTTCCTACTGGCATAAATACTGGTGTTTCAACATCTGCATGCGGCAAACTGAGAACACCTGTCCTACCTTTAGTTTTACTACATTCTGCTATTACCCTAAAACCTAACGCATGCTTACTGGTAGCTGACATCTTAACTCTACACATTCTTACGCCACCAAACGACTAATATTTCTAAATTATTCGTGTCACAACTTATTTTAAAATTATTAATATTATGTCTGTATTTTTCCATTTTTTAAAATTATTTAACTATTGATTTATTTTCCATTTTCAGTGTCTCTTCATTCTTATTAAAAATGCCTTTCTAATCCTTATTGAAACCCTTTATTTATCTCATGTTATTTATAGCTAACTCTAGTTCCGACCTAAAGCCACATCATAAAGTCGGTAGACTCTAAATGTAGGGATGGCCAAATTTAAGTACTCAATAGGCATTATACAAATATGCACGCTAAAAAAACAACAATGACAAATAATTTTACTTTAAAAGATGACTTCCACTCACTTTTCTTTGTTTCTCTACTCAACAACCCCAAAACACAGGGCAAGAAACTATCGCTAAGATACCAAACCAGAAAGTGAACAACCCACCAAATTGTTCATCTTTCTTCTTGTTGATAATTTTACAACTACTTTATTAGTAGCGTCAGTTTAAACCTAAATCCACTCTATGTGTATCTTGGCTGTGCACGATGTCATAGTTTAGTCGTAATAACTAACAGTAATAAAAAAATCATAATGCTAGTGTAAACGATGTTATCATTACCTCTTGAAGTTAGCTTTCTTACAGAAATATATTGTTCCTCTAAAAAACTTAATTACAGGGCGAAACAGGAATTACCAGGCAAAAATTGGAGAGTGCGTTAGTACTCTCTATGTAGGGATGGCACGGACGCCCGTATTAAAGTAATACAAAACTCACCTGAATTTTCTTCTCTACGGATAATCAGAATCTAGATATAAATAGCTGTTTGGTATAATAGCTTTTCTTCGGCGTATATGCCGCTTATTAGCTATGAAGGGTGTTCCAAAGTTGAAAATCGCGAATAGCCCAAACCTAGATCTCTTATTTTTGTTCATTATAATCTTTTTTTTCAATAGACAGGACGCCTACCAAGTTCTATCACTAACGGTAATTTAATAATCATTTGATAGAGCAAAACAGACTCAAGATCTTTGACTAGCTAGTTTATTATTATTCTATGCAAAATTGGTAAAGCTTTA